CCACAGTACAGGAGCCGCAGTGATGTTAAACAACCACTCCAACGGTCCCCCTGCAGTGTTCATTTCTCTTGTCTGCAAGTACCTGGCCCAAATCTACAGTGCCCGGGGCCAGTAGAGGTTCCGCGGGGAAGGGTACCACAATTATTCTCCTCATCGTGGCACCGTAGATTGTAGGCTCGGGGAAATGCAACTTTTGGTTTGTCAAATAGGTCCGGACGGAGGGGTGGTTGAAAGCACCAGTACACCACAAACCGGCCCGCGGGTGTCAGCACAAAACCCGCACCACTTCGGAGGCCGCCGATTTTTTTTTTTCAATGGCGCCCCACGCCGCGCGGCCCCTCCGAGTGTGGCGACAAAAACTTTCCACAAGGCTGGGGCTGTGTACTTGCGGTTTAAGTGTACAGACCTCACAAGCTGCACGGGAGAAGGTGCACTGCTTGACAGACACGAGTACGGATGTAGCTATGACGGATGGGTAGGTGAGTAAGCGCCGACAAGACTCAGAAAAAAACCTCAACTTGCCGGAGCCGCCATGGTTATATACGCAGCAGCAACGAAGTGTTTGCTACTCGCAAGACGCATGGCAAAAGGTTCAGACTCTTCAGAGCACAACACACAAGTGTTAAGCAAAGCATGTCCTCCGTTAAAAAATTGGAACGATACAGAGAATGAAGATTTGCATGGGCCCTGTGCAAGGATGAGATGCATAAATCGAGAAATGGTACAAAGTTAAATTAAAAAAGAAAAGAAAAGAAAGAAAGTGTTAAAGCACTAGAACCTCCGCCAGTGTTGGGAAAAGAGGGGAGAACTGGCAGTTTTCCCAAACTCCTAAAAAGTCGGGGGCTGGGCCCGTTGACGGCCACCGTTGATAAATCTCATCGGTGGCTGTCGTTTCGTTTCGGCCTCCTAAACGATCGGAGGCCCACCCGAGGGCCTCCCGATTTTCCCAATCGGCGGAGGTACTAGTGGTTTAAGCAAAGCGAAGTATAGACGATGGGCGAGTTACAAGGTGAGTCAACGGTGCCATCACCTACTCAATTTGTCATAACCATGATGGTCTTCGAGCCACAGCAACAAAATACTTGCTCCGCCCAAGATGTGCAGGGAAGAAGGTTCATTTCAGCTACAAGCGAATCGCATTCCATGTGAGTAAACCACATCCAGTACAGTACATGATACATGGAGCGAGCCAGAAAAGCACAGAGAAGCAAAATGAGCACGGCCACAAGTGGAACAAACTTTTCGTCGATTCATCCATATGCTTACAATATCCTTCACACCCACCCCCCTGATTTCGCTCTCCCACCTGATTTCGCTCTCCCACCGGATTTCACTCATGTTCTAGTAGTTCTAAACATATGCTGTAAATCTATCAGAGATGTAGATTTTCTGTACATAGGACACAACTCAACCCATCGCAGCATCAAAAAAAAGAAAAAAGAAAAAACACCGACCTGATCTCTGATGAGAAGGCCATCAACCAGATCACATCCAGGAGCAGCATACAGGATAGGAATCCCACATAAGCCCTGCCAAGCTGCTGGATCCCACTCTCAATCGCCACCAGCGCAAATAATGCAATCACAAGATTGGCGAGCAGAATGCCCAAGTACAACAAGGCACTCAACGACCCCACCAACCCGCACACGACCTGCCATTCAAATGCCGAATAGAAAACTAAAAAATTGAAAATTCAATGAATCAGCTCAAGAAGCCACTTGGATCATTGATCGAAGCACATTAGTACTGGAAATAAAAATATATCAAGTAATTAATTATAAAAACATAAATTAATAATAATAAACAGTTTTTAATAAAACACGTAGGTACTGCATTTGTAGAGACAGAGAGGTAGTAAGGAGGGATTGTAAATGAACCACAAGTCACAGTGTTCAGTGTCCGGGACTTTCTACTACCATCTTCACCCGAATAGAACGCCTGGTCATTATCCTCGTATCTAGACTGAGAGTTGCCCCAAATACAGCTATAATGACCAAGCGTTCTATTCCAGTGTGGACGGTAATAAAGGTGGAGAAACACCAAGACTCAAGAAAACTGTGTTTGAATACTCTGTGTGTTTGTGTGGGGAGAGATGGCAGGGGGGGGGGAGGAGGAGAGGGGGGAGGAAGGTAAGGGCTGAGAGAGGGGTAGGGAGGCAACGCCTGGGTACCGAGGGGAGTTTCCCGGTTGATCTCGAGCCTTTCAGGGCCCACATGTTGTGTACTCTTGTGATTTCCAATTTTCCATCATTTGCTTGCCGGGGAAAAGTAACCTGACTGGTGGCCCTTCTCTTTGATTTCTTCGGGAAGTCTTTTTTGAAGTAATGCTGTGTGCCTATACTAACCGTGTTGTCCATCCACAGAGGCTTGAGAGTCGAACAGGGACTGGACTGCAGAAAGGTAGGACCTTCGAGGGTAGGTCTGCAATTTGACATAGCGGACTGGCAAATTTGTAAACTTGTGACATTACAGGGGCATGCCAGAAATTCGGTAAGGGACAGCAGGATATTCCAGCAAGTCCAGAGCTAGGGGTACACCAGTAGTCCCTGGTACAGATATCAGTCCAGTAGGACTCCAGTATGGAAGGAATTCGGACCAAGGTCAGTGCAGATTCGTCCGTACTAACCAGAGCGATATGG